CTAAAATAAAGACAATCCCCTTTGATTTGAGACATGCATAAGTTCAAGGAAAAGATGCCAAAGGTCTTGGAGCAGCCAAAATAAAATAGATAACCATTGGATAGTAGGAATGAGGGAGAAAGTTACTCATTTGGATTTTGATACAAACATAACATATTGCCCCTTTACAAATTAATACACAATCCAGAAGACATTTCTGTTTTGAACTTTGCTCTTTTATTATGTAAGAATACTATTCTCCAAACATATAAAAATGCATGTATTAGACAAAAAACATGCACAAGACTATATACAGTAATGGATACCCATATCCATTTTAATTTGGTTTTAATTTGAAATTGGTTTTAACTGGGTTGTTTTAAATTGTGGGCCGAAATTATTTAATTACCTTTTAAACTGTTTTTTAAATTTTGTATGCTCTGTTTTATCTCGGCTATTCACTGCTCTGAGTCCTGCTGGAGAAGGGCGGTATAAAAATCAAATAAAATAAATAAATAAATATCTGAAAGCTTTATGTAAGATCAGGTTATGTTCAAAATACATACAAAGCAAAGCATGCCCAGAAAATTGTATATTAGGAAATATATAAATTAACACACAAGGTTTGTTATACATTTTACAATAATGTAGGAATGGAACGGAACGATATAAATTAAGGATTAGGCAAACTGAAAAACCGGGTGAAACAGAAATTGACAAATGTACCCATTCCCAGTAGGAAACAGGATGGGTAGATGAGAAGTTATTTTGTTTTCTAAAAAAGTACTAAGCCAAGTTTATGCTCTGTTACTTCTGTGTGACTATTCCTTATCTGTGCAGAGGTCTGCACAAATAGATAGATTGTTAATTTAATTGTAATGTTGTTAAGATGCAGGCACCATAATGTTGGAAATAGAGCGTTTCATAAGGAGAGACCTCCTACTAGGAGCAACTTTGCTGGCCATCCACCGTTTCACCTTGTAGTTTCAGTAAGTCCAGAAAACAGAATTGTCTTTGAGAATGCAGAATTTAATCAGCATGGGACTTTAAATAGTAGATATAACAGCAGAAATACATAAGATACTGGTTTGTTGTTAACAAAATATTTGCTTTGTATTTCTGTCAAACTGTTTTAGAAGCTTGTAATCAAGATGGTTCAGTGAAAATCTGTTACTCCTTATCATAGGTAAAGAATGGGATTTTTTCTCCTCAAATGCATTGTATGAATTGAAAATTAGAAATTTTGATTCAGAATGTATAACAGAATGCACCACATAATAACAGAGTTGGAAAGGATCTTGGAGGTCTTTTAGTCCAACCCTCCACTCAAGCAGAAAATCCTATATCATTTCAGACAAATGGTTTTCCAATCTTTTCTTAAAGACCTCCAGTGTTGGAGCACCCACAACTTCTGGGGGCAGGTCGTTCCACTGATTAAGCGTTCTAACTGTCAGGAAATTTCTCCTTAGTTCTAGGTTGGTTCTCTCCTTGATTAGTTTCCATCCATTGCTTCTTCTCCTGCCTTCAGGTGCTTTGGAGAGTAGGTTGACCCCTTTTTGTGGCAACTCCTTAGGTATTGGAACACTGCTATCATGTCACCAGTAGTCCTTTTCATTAAACTCGACATACCCAATTCTGCAACCGTTCTTCATATGTTTCAAGTCTGTCATGATCCTTCTGTATCTTAAGCCTATTTTCTGGGGTATTGGCTATTCCTGCCAGCTTGATGTTGTCTGCAAATTTGATGAGTTCCCCTTCTATCACCTTGTCTAAATTATTAAGGAAGATATTGAAGAGTACTGGGTCTAAGTCAAAGCCTTGAAGTATCCCACTGCATACTTCTTTCCATGTAAATGCAGTTACATTAAGGACTACATGTTGAGTGTGGTTGGTCAGCCAGTTACAAATCTATCTGGTGGCGATGCTGACTTACCCACACTTTTCTATCTTGTCAAGTAAGAAGTTGTGGTCATCTTTATCAAATGCCTTACTGAAATCCAAGTAAATTATATCAACAGCATTTCACTGGTCCACTAATTTAGTCACTTTGTCAAGATTTGTTTTTGACAAACCCATGTTGGCTTCTGGTTATGATGACTTTGTTTGCCTCAAGGTGTTCACAGATTTATATTTGATTATATTTTCCAGAATCTTTCCAGGTGTTGATGTCAAGCTGATAGGTTTGTAGTTTCCTGGATCCATTTTCTTTTCCTTCTTTGAATTCATGTTTTCAGGACTGTGAATGTAGAACCAGACAAAGATAAAAAGTTGATTTTTTTTGTGTATAATGTGGAAATGCTCCACGAGATGATATAAGTGATATTTTAGAGATTTTCTCCTTCAACCTGCTATGGGTTTAATATTGTTGAGAGTTGTTTAAATAAGACCATAAAATTATCTGCATTGCCTTCCCTCTTTTTTTCTCTTCTTTTCTGTTTTTGCAATAGAAACAACAAGGATGGTTACCTAGTTCTGAGGCATGCTTTCTTAGAATAAGGTATTATTATTTTTTTTGCTAAGTAGTCATTGAGGCAGCAGAAGATGACTACTTTTATCTCATCTGATAAAAGACCCCCTAAAGTTAAGACACTTGTTCTGGTTCATATTTTTGGGAAGTCACATCTTCTACTTTCCTATGCAGCATTTGCTGCAGCAAGAATTCAAATGGCAGGAAACTTCTGAGTATCATCTTAGTGCCTAAGCCCCCCTCCCCTTTCCTGCAAATCTTTCTTCAGATTAAGCTTGCAGAAGTAACATTCTATGTACAGATGATCATGGCATCCTCAGGCAGTCAAGGAAATACGGCTGGTAGCAGCTGCCTAAAGTATAAATTAATGAAAGGTGGAGGTTTAATCTGTCACCTGTCTCAGTTTACTATCACCATTGTGTAAACTGAATAAATAAAATAAATCCAGAAACAATACCCACATCATAACTCTTAATTTAGGTTATCTTACAAAATTCTAACCAAATGGGAGGATTCTACTATATTATTTCAGAAAAGTTATTTTTATCCCGACAGAATTAAATTTATTATGTGAACCAAATTTACGATACTTTGTGCTACCAAGATAATCTTCAGTTCCAGTGCAATTATTCTACAAGAAGCATCTCTAAACTACTAGCCTGGACTTTTAAGAGAAGCCAAACTCTTTTAGAGTAAGTTGAAAACCCTCCAGCTGGAGGTTTATAATATGAGAAATGTAAATCAGTATGAGAGAGAGAGAGAGGGAAAAAGTCCAGAAAAAGCATTACATCTAGAAAACATTATTTTGGTTAAGAGGTTTTAAATTTTGTCAATTTTCAAGTATGAAATTGAAAGTAGTATATGAGTATGTTTGAGGGTGTGTGTATTTAAATCTTACCTGAAAGACCACTGGGTGTCAGCCATGTCCATTGCTACTGAATTGTTCAATCAAACAAAATAAGTTATCAGTGAAATAGAGAAAAAGAAAAGAATAGGCTTGTTGAATCAGAAATTCTGTCAACAGGGCTTAAAATATTAAAGGATTCTATGAGAGTAACATTTTGAGGTTGTTCTAATTATTTTTTATGTTTTTATGTTTTATATATTTACAAAATAAAATATAAAGGGAGCAATCCTTGGATATTCAGTAGATTTGG